TCTTAAGAGCTGACGTCCACTGCTTTGGTGACAATGACTGTTATTCACTTGCCTTCGGTGTTCCAGGGATACTCATGATTGTCTCTATTGGTAAGATTATTAAACAGTATTTGCTTTGACCCGTATAATCTTTGAATTTTCGCTATCTGTGAAACAAATTTTAATGTAGCTGAACCTCTTTAGTCAACCTAGTAATTAATTAGATATATTAAGATGGTAAGGCAGGCCCTTAATCAAGATTTCTTAAATAAAGTTTCAATTATAATTGATAATGAGTATTTAAGTAGTTTTAAGATCGTAACTTGTGTTTGTATGGGTATAATGGGGTCTCTCACAATAAAATCGTAATTCCCTACTTGATTGAAAAAATTACTTGCATTTTAAATGATTACAATTGGAATAGCTCTGAAACTATCACACAGAAGAATATTATTTTAAAACATAACATCAATTAATTCGTGTCAAAAACATATATTATTCTATTGCATTCTATTTTTAAACTCAGTCTTATAGTTTAAAGAGAGTCAGATTAGACCCTCAGGCTCAGAATGTAATAAGTTAGCTACAGATAAAAACGTTTATTTTATTTGCAGTTTTCTTCGTGGCCGGTAAAAGGCTTTACATAATAAAGCAGCCCGCAGGAAATGTTCTCGGAAAAGTCTCTACTTGTATTGGCGTAAGTAATCTTTACGTACATATGTATATAGGTATATGTATATAGGTATATACATACAAGTTTTGTCTCCTATCTTGAGATACGAGATGGTAATTAACTGATCGATTATTGAAAGACATTCTTTGTATGGGATCATTATGATCATGCCTGGTCACTTTTGACAAACTAGTTTGTTAAACATGTTCTGCATCGTGTGTATATTTTATAGAAATAGGTTTCTTAATGATATTGCATTGCCCTACACCTACTTGGTTAAACTCTTTGACATTGTCATTTAGCGCTATTTAGAGCTAGTTTAGAGTCACACTTCTGATACCTACTGTTTTGTATGGGATATACAGGGATGTCGATGACAATGGTCTATTATTGGAATGAGTTCAGTAGGATATTCAACCTTAATGCTTGACAAAATACCTATATAAATAAAAATCATTTTTCTGCGTTGTCTACCTAGATTAAATTCTTTACGAATAGGTTTAGTACCGAAATACCTTACCATTAAGTTCTAAACGTTTTACTTAAAAGTTTGGCCTTTTCGCTTCATCGTCAAACTCTACACGAATCGAATCGCCATATTCATTTAAGGATCGGTCCATTGAATCTAGCTTAATTTTACCAATATCAGTTCCATTTATAGCCAGGACAAAACGTCTTCTTTTCAAAATTTTCTTTCATAAAACCTTTTTCTGGCCACTGTAATTGTAAAGGTAGTCCAGTTTCACAGTAACATTATAACGTGTTTTAAGTTTTGTATAACATACAAACAAAACTCTTTAAAGTGTTCGAGATAAAACCAAACGTGAGATAGTAATGTAATCATAGAAAAATGACACTTGAGATTGATTTATCAGATAATAATTTCTTTCTGGCACATGGCCAACTATTGACCTTAAAGTAATTGAAAATAAGTAGCAATCGACCCGAATAAATGTCTAGGTTGGTAGGAACCGGGCGTAAATCAGCTAGTAGTACATAAACTATAGGGTATATTAAACTACTAACGCCCGGTTCCTATAATTGAGAAACGATCCGTTTTAATTACGAATAGTAGTTTTATATACGACTCGTAAGCTAAAACCGTTTCTATAATAAACGTCTCGTCGTGCAACTTACTGACGGTTTGCAACTAACGGATATCGGTAAGCGAATTGTATGGAGATCTATGGTGTCTGTGGTGTTCCTATAAATATTTTAACCGTCAGTAGACGGTCAAGATAACTATTCGTAATGTCATTTGGTCGTTATGTCATACAACGACGATTCGTTAAATATAGGAACCGGGCATAAAAGGGTGAATTTAAAATGATAATTTGGTTTATTAATTAGTTAATTACATTAATTTAAGTTTCACCGCAAACGTATATGCATGGAACAATTCACACGGACCATGATTAATGTGGTAAATTTATTTATCACTCTGTTTTATATATAGATGCGTAGTTATAGGTAATACCACATCCATTGACGCCATATATGTCACAAAAAGTAAGCGGGTTTCTATAAATGTGGAAAGTGATGCTTCAACATGATTGGGCCACCACTGGAGTAACCACAGCTTCATTGAATGGGAATTCAGAATGGGCTCGAAACAATTCTTCCGTGTTGTTTTGTTTGTGAGAGTGAGGCTACGACAGGGATTGTCGTCACAATTTTCTACTACCAAAAAAACAAGTTTATCGTAGAGTTCTATCGAACTTGTATGGAGATATTAACGTACCTAAACAATTTCGAAATTCTTAGATATTAGTAGATACGGAGTCTATTTTGTAGCGGATTTGTAGCATATTTAAAAAAGTCATCGATGGTAAAAATAAGATTAGTTAAGTTACCTTAATCACATAAAGTTAACTTATATAACAACACAACGTACGTAGCCAACATACATCTACATCCCATCGCTTTTCAGGTGATCAATAGACCATGAACTAACGAAGAACTACTTGGGTTTGATAAATATGCAATAATTATAACATTATCAGCAATTTAACGCTACAATAAACTGAATGTTTTCAGTAAAAAGCACGTCGAACGGTGGGGTCCCTGTTGACATTAGTGGCCACGCTAACGTAAAATTTGCCATGCCGTTATTGTATAAGTTTTATTACGACAGTGAAAGTCTTATTTTCATTGGTTTTATCTTCATCCAATGTATTGTACCACACACGATCAATAAATTGCCCACAATAGCATACATATAATGCACTCATACATATGCCCTGTTATGTGTGTAATAACTATGTACTTAATCACAATTGCAATGCAAATTAATTTCCACACTGTTCTCAGCTGAGTGGGCCGAATGAGCTGATTCAATTAACTGCCACTCAATTCCAAACCAAATAATTATTAATATGTCTATACGGGTGTAAATTGCAAATCGGTACTTTAGATATGGGCTTGGATTTATTGGCACGGCCATTAGTGCTGCTTATCAAAAGGTGCCGTTAGTAAAATAGCACAGGTGTCATTCAGTCAGATGTCACCATGTTTTTACTGTTCTTAGCGCCTAAACTGGAATCCATCAAATTGTATTGCAATGCTAAATTAAAAGACGATGATGCAAACGCGTTGAAACGCATATCAAGTTTGAAAAACGAACCACAATCACCTTCCTCCAAAAAATATACCAAGAATACGAAATCCTTGTATCATTTATCAACTTCTTTCGTTACAGCACGCAGTGGTAAAGTCCTGCAAGAGTAAGGAGAAACGCGAGCACTGGTTAGACCATGCTGATGACAAATATGACTCAAACTTAATAGAAGATGTGAAGGCGTTACTTCGAGTGCTAGTGCTCTTCATACCACTGCCCGTCTTCTGGGCACTGTTCGATCAACAGGTAAGACAAGACAGGTATTTCCAGCTACCCTCATACACCCATGGCATGGATAAGGCATATTGTGTCTGCATCTAAGCAGTTTCTTAAAAGTACACGAGTAAAAAGAAAGTCCCTTCGTCATAAAACCGGTGTATCAAAAACAAAAAACTAACATAACTATTTTTTCATATTTTATCATAGGGATCCAGATGGACCTTCCAGGCAGACAGAATGGAACAAGACATTGGTGCCTGGACTCTCAAAGCTGATCAAATGCAAGTGCTGAATCCTCTCCTCATTTTAATATTTATTCCTATTTTCGAAGTGGTAAGTAAGAATTGAATTAGAATTTTGTTTTGAATTAGAGTTATGAGGTAAAAGTCATTAAATTTCTACTTTTTTTTTAGGCTATCTATCCTTTCCTGACGTGGTGCAAGCTTGTAAGAAAACCTCTACATAAAATGATTTGGGGCGGCATCCTAGCCGCATGTGCCTTTATCATCTCTGGCATCGTTGAACTTAATTTACTGGTAAGTTTACAAAAACTTTTCATAATATCAGCAGCAAACATAGGTAGTAGGGATAGGTATACCTAAATACCATATATATAATACCGTATACTTAAATAATGTTATCGAAACACCTAAAGTACCAACCAAACCAAAAAATAAATCGCAAAATTTTCAATGATTTTTGCGATTTATTCATGATTCGTTCAAAAGTAGTTAACAAAAAAAAATGTTTATTTACTGTGACTTTTACAAAAAAAAAGTTAAAACATTATATATATTACCATATTCATTGTTTTATAAATCTGTGTGCTGCATTGACCAAGAAACCTACATTTCACGGAGTTAATAAATGTCAGATTCAGTCGTTCGATTTCGGATCAATGTTGAACAATAACGGGGTGGTGACGTGTGACCAAATCTACCACACCTACACCTATCTTGACCACACATTAATTGGCCTTTGTAGCTTATTCTGTTGCCTTGCATGTGATATAAACCACCGATGGTGGCGTTTGACTCTTGTAAAATTGTGTCACGGTGGTACCTACATTTACAATGCCCGACAAAGAAATCATTACGAGTAATTTTGAATGTGAAATTAATTATCCTCTACTACCATTTACATTTTTATTGAAATATTAAGTATCTTTACTGTTTTGTTGTAGCCGACATACGGTACACCGGTCTCAGAAGGTTTGGCTCAATTGAGGGTGTACAACGGATTTAATTGCAACTTCACCCTTAACACTGCAGACCTCAACGCACTCCAAGAGAACGTGACCAGAAACTTTGAGGTTGGCCCTCTCTCAGCGTACGAGAATCTTAACATAGCCGCTGACAAATTTGTAGACCTTCCTTATTATTTACAAGGAGAACCTGGCACAGAGTGCGCAGATTTAGCATTCAGTGGATACTTTAACCTAAAGGAAAAAACTGCGAATTCGTTTTTTATTAATAAAGATGGACTATACAATTTTACAGACAATAATGATAAAGCAATTGACGGAGTAAATGTAAGGTAAGTTATTATAAAATTAATCTTTACACTACAGCTCATCATGTTTAGTTTTACAATGGTGGTCCTGGTAAAATCGATCATATATGTGATTCCAGTAACGATATATGAGGGTTTCTGCTCTGAAATCAGTTGTATCAAATATTTTTCTTATTAGCAAAACGTTACTACCATCTAAATTCAACGGCGGCCATGTAGTATTACCTGTATAGCTTGCCGGCGTGGGATCGCCATATTTTGCAAAATTTGCCCATAATTTTGACATTTCTTTGATAACCGTTTTGTCAATATTGATTTCATCTCTAGTCATTTTCACATAGTCTTCCCAAAGTGGTTCACACTTTAGAACATAACATATTTCATCGCCAGTCGCAACACCTTTGATTTTTGCATTAGACTGCCCTAGCGAAGTGGCCTTGACAGCATTCAGAGAGCCCCTATAGTCAAACTTATACATAAAAATCTTGGTGTTCACTTTAATTAGCTTTACGTACATGTTGATAAATTTTATTATAGGATACTTAATGAGATCAGATAGAAATCTTAGGAAACTGTCGAGGGATTTTTCTGTAATATCTCCTTTGAAGTACCTATCCTTTATTTCTTCCGATACACGCCTATACTCTTGCGATGTAGTGTTATAACGGCATCCGTCATGAAATGGCACCATATACCTAAAAGACTTTCGAAATAGTCTCAAATAATGTGGATGATGTATAAACGGTATTGCTTCCGATATACTTTCTTGAGTATTAAAACCGATTAACAAAGGTTTAATCTTTTTGCGTTTCATAATATCAATAAAATCTTTTGGCGATTTTGTTAGTAAACTAGTGTTAGATATTGGTTCAAGGATCGGCGTAAATGGTACTACAGGTCTTTGAAAGTTTTCCACTTCCGAACGTGTATAAATCTTTTGTGAGGCATCAACTACCTCTTTAGTTACGGCCTTGCTTAATGTTAAACCTTTCTTATGGAGCTCTTGTTTAAGTCTCTCCTTTTCCAACTTATGATCACCTTGTAATATTGAAGCAGAGTATAATGATCCACTTTGTAAAATAATTTTAGAAAACAATTTACTAGCTTCTGTAAGTAAAAGCAGTGTTATGAACGTTGCAGCTGAGTTACTGCCCATCACAGTAATGTTGTCTTTATCACCACCAAAGTGTTTAATGTTCTTCCTGACCCATTTCAAAGCCATGACTATATCTTTGAGTCCCATGTTAGCATGGGAATCATTGTCATTGCTTTTCAGAAACCCAAACACTCCTATTCTATGAGTGACAGTAACTAGAACAACATCATTGTCGATCAAAAAATCTGCTCCATGAATGTGGCTGAAAGATGAAGTAAAAGCGTATCCATGAAGCCAAACAATGACCGGCTTGAGAACACCTTCAGTCTTAGGAATTTCAGGCGTGTAGATGTTTAGATACAGGCAGTCTTCCGACCCAAACAGTCCGTGTTTATGAACGATGTGCGCTTGAGCACATGCTCCGTGGAATTCTGTCCTTGCATCATAAATTCCTTTCCATTTTGGATGAGGCTGGGGATCCTTGAATCTTAAACTGCCAAGAGGAGGCTTAGCGTAAGGCACTCCATAAAATGCAAAATAAAGTCTCTTATCAAAAACCGTGGCGTCTCTATGCCCTTTCAGTTTTCCCTGCTTAATAGTCACTTCAATATTATACGATATTATTCTTGAAAATAACACAAAAAGCACGTACACTTCCCGATACATTATTCATTTTTATATACGAGCCTATGTTTACGCTACGAAGTTGGTTATCGAATAGAAGAATTAAAATCACTGAAGTGGCAAATGTTTACACAAGGAGGAATACTAGTAATATGTGGCAATGTAAAACATAACGATTATGAAATAAGATAAAAATACGACTTAACACTTAGTGCTTAAATACACTGTTCTAAAGATGTGATCCAATCCTCTCTTGTTAGGTAGCAAACGATGAGTCGTGACCTAAATTGAGATTCGTTTCCATCTCGTCTCACAGTTTGCAAGAATTAATTGGTATTTAAGTACAATAGGACATGTTGAAGGACAATGATTAATTGTGCTTTGTGTCTTGATATGGAAGAAATGCTAATACACACTACCTATTTTTACGACGAAGAATATGACGGATTACCTGACGATAAGCAATCGGTGCCGCTCACGGACACCCGAATCACGAGAGGAGTTGCAAGCGCTTCGATGTTTTGCGGATATGAGTTTTTGGGGATTGGGTAGCGATAGGAGGAAAGATTGGGCATCCGGTAATACTCAAATAGCGAACCGCAAGGCTGTAGTTGTTTCACGTCAGTTTTCGGTGAGGTTGTTGTACCAATACGGCCGAGTCGACCGATTCATGCCGAAGCTCGAGTCTCCCTCTGTTAAATGTTCAATTATTTCCCTTTTTTGTTTTTAGATTTTTGACAAATATCAGAAGAATCGTAGATATAAGTATAGAGAGTGATAAGAAGAATAAATCGTTGCTAAGTATTAAGAGTAACAATATGACACAGAGGTCAATTGCTAAAGGAGTGAGTAATGTTACTGTGGGAGGATTTGTGGTACTAAGAGACTTCGACTTCAAATCTGGAGCAGTTTACACGATAAATGTGTACGAAGACAGTACTGGAGTATACGTAAGTACCTTAACTATTGTAAAAGCACATTCGAATTTGTTGGAATCAAGTTACAAATTATCGTCACTGATTATACTTAGTTACTGGCATGAGAATCTTTTCTCAGGCGAGTCGCTTGTAAGGCATATTATCAGATCAAAAACATTAACTAGTCACTAGCTAACGTCACAAGATGACATGAATCTTGAAGAACCTATGGCTAACTATAAACAATTACGACGTCCATCGTCGAAGGTAGAAAAGGGACAATCTTTATCAATCAAAATTGTCTTTTAAGCTACTACAGATACAGTCACAAGTAACGGGCTTCTGAATCACCGCCGCATTTTCAACACAAATACTATAAAACATAACAATGGAGTGTAATGATGATTCAAAATTATTTGATTTTAAGTAGGAGATAGATAGAAGAAAAAAACATTATCAATGAACTCCTAAAAAATATTGTTTCTTTCGCAGCATGCAAACGCAGTGATGATAACACCGTCGAACAGCATCCACATCCTGTGGCTGATACCTCAGTACGTGGTGATGACGATGGGGGAGGTGATGTTCTCAGTCACCGGCCTCGAATTCTCTTTCACCCAGGCTCCATCTAGCATGAAGTCAGTACTACAATCAGTCTGGCTACTCACAGTAGCCTTCGGAAATCTAATTGTTGTGCTCATCGTAGAAGGAAACTTTTTGGATGCCCAGGTGAGGTTAAATGTTTACTTTTGGGCTATTTGCAATAGCTTTAATGATCAAGAAACAACCATGCCCAGAGTCATATTGTATTCGCGAGCGAAAGAACGCTATTTTTGTCAGTTGTTGTTGTTGTTAGTGAGTTAATACAGCAACAATATTGTACTTACGCATTTTATGTTTATTTTGTGTCTATATAAAGAATATTACCTAAAAAAGAGTAGCGAAATTGGTTTTATACCGAACTATACAAAAAAATTAGTCTATAAAACCAGCATTGTTTAATCCCTGCAGCTTTATCGGATTATTTTTTAATTTCCAAGAACTAACTGAATGTTCTTTCTTAATCCGAATCTTTCTATGTTGACAACTTTACCGAAGGATATATCTTTAAAAGCAATCAAAGTTTTAATCTAATATCGTCTTTATTTCCAGTGGAAAGAATTCTTTTTGTTCGCGGGCCTGATGTTGATCGACATGCTCATCTTCACAACGATGGCCTTCAGATACAAGTACAAGGAACTCGCATCCAGCGACGAAAACCTTGCGATTGAGGAAATCAAAATGCCAGAGAAGACTTCACAAGACAAACACGAAAAGAACTAATTGTTACATAATTATATTATTATTAAATACCCGTTAAGTAATTAAAGTTTTTATTATTGACTAAGAATTTTGTTTTCATTTCTTTAACTACACTAATAAAAGATTGGTTCGAAGAATTGCTGGTAATTCTAGGATAACCAGGTCCTATTAAAACCTATGCCTATTCAGAATGGCCCTGGTCTGTAGGAGGACAAGGAACTGGATGATTATTAAGGAGAAAGATAACTGATATTCCCCACTCAAAAAGTGCGCCTATTTATAATTACGTGTTGGTATAGTTTATAATATCCTTACAATATCCACAATGCAGTTCTTTTTAATATTCATTAACTATCTAAAAATAACAGAGTCGTACATACATTAACTGACACTTGACTGCATAAAAACCACGAGTAAATACCGAGTAAACACGCAACTCTCAAGGCCGTAATTTGCTAACGTGACAATATTAGAATAATGTACAGCGAGCCGAGACGTTGTAAGGTATCATAATTCTGCTGACCCAGCAAGAAAGAGTAAGCGATAGAATTTAATTTTACATACAGTGTCGTTCAATCAATAATCTAATGTCAGTCCGGTAATCATAAAGATTCCTGCAAGACGTTGAACACAACAGTCGCGTCAGCCATCTTTGTAAAAAAATCGAGAAAAAGTTTCTCCATGGGTCTACCGCCGGACAACGTTCCCGCCAAAAATATTGATGACACAAAAAAGATGTAGGTAAGCTTTTTTGTGATATTTTAACACCAAATTATATATAAAAAAAATGACATGTGATTATTCGTTTTGCACATGCTTAAGTAAATTTAATAGTATATTATTCAATTTTAACTTAAACTAAATTCTAATTTTTAAACACGGACTACACTATGAGGGCCAATATCTGAGCCACGATAGGTTTGCCCTCAACAATTTTCTATTGGCATTCAGTAATAACATTGGTTTGTAAGGTATCTGTGCCCAAATACCCGGTGATTTTGGCTAACGATAATGGCGCAAAATGCAAATATCGATTTCGTCTTAAAGAACAAACAGCATTAAAATCACTAATTTAGCGATTTATCTAATTTTTAGATAATGTGTGTGTTCCTCCAAGAAATAGACAGAAATGCACAATGCAAGTATAATTCCGGACCATTTAATATTTTATCAGATATGATTAGCATGCAAAATGCACTCAATCAATAGTCATTCGTAGTTGAGACGTATCAAGGCAACCACATTATTGAATTGTGTTACACAAAATCAAACAACTTACAATTTCATGCAACTGAACATTTGTAATTGATATCCTATTCTGTGTGAACCCGATCAATAGAAAATGCAGTCTGGCTCCCTGAATATTTAATACATTTGTGGAACTTTAGCATTATGATAGAGTGGCACAATACCGCATTTTACATTACATCTGAATCGGTATGTCTACGTT